AAAAAAAAAAAAAAAAGTAGAATCCAATCTACTGCTGAGAAAGCAGGTCAGTGGTTTCCTGGGGCTGGGGCTGAGAGGGGATTGACTGGGAAGGAATACAGGGGAATATTTCAGAGGGTGAAAATGTTCTATATCCTGATTGTGACAATGGTTACACAGGTGTACACATTTGTCAAAACACATTGAAATGTGTGCTTTAAATGGGGGCATTTCCTTGTATGTAAATTATACCTCAATAGGTTATTTTTGCAAAACTCATTTATATGTGATAGAAGAGGACTGGAACTAAAAAGTGCCAGATCAAAGGCTGCACAAAGAACTGGTTGTGGACACCGGGGCCTCATCATCTCAGCTCTCACTAGACCCCATAGACCACCCACTTCAAGCCAAGGTCAGTCGGGAAAGCCAGGATTGAGGAACTGGAACCCAGAGGGTCATCAGAGGTCTCTCCCACCTCTAAGATTCAGGAGGTCTCGGGACATACGGATTTCACGATGGATCTGACCTCAAAGCATGAAGCTGGTCTCTACCAACCAACCCCAGTGGACACAGGAAGAGAGGGAAGATCACCTTGGTTACTCCTGTGATGCAAACAGGGTCATGGTGGCCACATGAACGTGTCTGGAACCACATGGGTGGACAGATGCCTCCAACTGTCATCAAGAGAAAAAGAGACAGGAGTAAGAGAATAAATACATACCCGTGAGTACAGTGGAGAATAGATGCTAAGGTCCCATTTCAAATCACAGCGTTTCCCAAAACTGATCTCCTCGGATGCAGATCAAAAGCAAAACAGGAAACAAGGAGGTATTTTGTTCAGGCCAGTGTCAACCAGTACATCCTAACGTGGGTTTTATGGCATGGATTCCTGTGCTGCTCTGCCATGGGCAAACTGTGTGACCTTGACCAAGTCCTTCAAAGCAGTGAGCCTCGGTCTTCTAATCCACAAATTAAGGATAATAACAGTGCCCACCTCACAGGTTTATCATGAGGATCAAATGAGAAGATGAATGAGGCTTAGCTTGAATTCTACCATTTTCTTACATCATTATTATTGTCATCACTGACCACACAGTTCATTACCACCACCCATGAAGTATTCATTTTTCCCCCTAAACCGCATGCACTGTTCTTAGTAATGGATGGACAGCTGCCAGGGAAACATACATTTGTTGCATTTTAGATTCCCTCTGGGTTTTTGGTCTTTTTCCCTGACTCTGGAATAAAATCGCTACTCAGAGATCTGAGACATGCAAGAGATGTTGGCCCAAATTGCCTTGGATGAGCCAGCGCCCAGCGATAACGGAAGCTCCAGGGAATAATGAGAATGTGCCACGTGCCTCGCAGGAGACATGCTGGGGGAAGCAGATGCTTCTGCAGAGGAGGATAAAGCACTGTTTCTTTATGAATTCAAACACAATGTCCACAAAAGAGGAGATTCGGAATTCAAATCTCCGTCAAACGAGGGAACCCTTGAGGTGGAGAGAGAGGAAAGAAAACCAAGAAGAAGGGAAAGGAAGCTGAACTAACATTTATTAAGAACAGATCCTAACTGGAAATGTCTTTATCTACACGGCAAAACAAGCTGGGTTTTATTATCCCCACTTTACAGATGAGGAAACTGAGGTTTCTAAACAGGCCTGTTGGACCCCAAAGGGGCAGAAGGCGTGTTCAAATAGGGGCGGGGACTGGGAACAGTGGCTCACACCATAATCCCAGCAGTTTGGGAAGCAGAGGCAGGAGAATTGCTTGAGGCCAGGAGTTCATGATTAGCCTGGGTAACAGATGGAGGCTCTGCCTCTACAAAAAATTCAAAAATTAGCCGGGCGTGGTTGTGTGTATTGGGCGTGCCTGTGGCTATTTGGGAGGCTGCAGCAGGAGGACCACTTTAACCCAGGAGGTGAAGGCTGCAGTGAACCTTGATTGCTCCACTGCATTCCAGCCTGGATGACAGAGCGGATTCATGTCATATATATATATGGATCTATATAGATCCATATATATACGGATTGAATGAGAAAAGATCCAAGGAAGGTATATGTAAACTGCAAACTTGATGGCCATCTGCATTACTATTACGGTGAGAAAACTGGCCAGTGATTGATAAATCATCTCTGTTCAGTTTATTCCGGCTGCTTTCACAGTCTGTAGGCAAAAGAGTTCACTCTTAGGAGAGTGGCATAGTGTAGTAGTTACAAACACAGGTTTCAGAGTCAAACTGGATACAATTAGAAATCCTGTCTCCACAGCTAATTTGCTGTGTGGCCCTGGGTTCATCACGTCACCTCTCTGAGCCTGTTTCTCACCTGCAATGCCTAATTCCCTACCTTATGGAGTATCCGTGAGGCAGCACCCGCAAGAACCTTGGTAAACGGTAACAAAGTGGTAGTTAGGGTTAATTACTACTCATCATCTCCTCCACACCTTTGAGTACACCATAGCTCAGCACCCCCGTCCCTTCCATGACTCATCCGGTAGCTTCCAGAGGGGCCCACCTGGCACCACAAGGGATAAGGGGACACCTGCCTCATCTGATCTGATCAGAGTGGAATGGGATAGGGAGACAGATGTCACTCTCAGCCAGACTTCGCCTCCTCTGGCTATTGTTCCTCCTCAGAGCTCGAGCTGACAGATGAGTCGGGGCTCAGAGACAAGGGAAGGGATCCTGTTGAAACAAAGGACTGGCCTACAAGTTATTCACCAGCCCATTGACTCTGCACAATGGACCCAATGCCCCAGAAACACGCTGCTCAAACAGGCTAATAATCACCCGGGAGACGAACCAGCAGCCTCAACAGAAATAAAAGCAAATCACTAAGTATCCATACAAGGCTCAGGTGCTACGTAACTGAACTCAGCTGGCACCCAGGGGGGGTGCACGATAGCATTCGCTAGCTTTGTTAAGCACCTACAGGGCACCGAACGCGCACTGGTTCATAGCCTCATGGCCGCTTTTTAAAACCGGGATTGTGATTTCCACTTTACAGATGAGGAAACTGAGGCTCAGAGAAGGGAGATTACTCCCGGACTGAAGTGGACGCAGGTGGGAGAAGGATTTGTACACGGACTTGCGTAACTCTCAGCTGCTTCTCTTTCCACCACTCTGCCCTGCCTTGATGAAGAAGTAAGTTCAAAGAGTGTAACCCCGCCCTGGGAAGAAGCATGGACCACAGCCAGAGAAAGGACCTTAAAATGAAGACACAGAAGAAAAGAAAAATTGGAAACAACTAGCAGGACCAACAATAGGGAACTAACAAAGTAGACCGTGTTTATCTCCTGCATGAAACACTGAAATCTCTAATGATTTCGGCAAAGGTCATAATAACATGGAGAAACACATCTGATGTAACTTTTCAAAAGCAGTATACATATAATGCAATTACTTTTTTTCTTCTTTTTTTTTTTTTGAGGGTCTCCCTCTGTCACCCAGGCTAGAGTGCGGTGGTGGTGTGATCTCTGCTCACTGCAACCTCCGCATCCTGGGTTCAAGCGATCCTCCTGCCTCAGCCTCCAGAGCAGCTGGGCTATAGGCACATGCCACCACGCCCAGTTAATTTTTGTATTTTTAGTAAGATAGGGTTTCGCCATGTTGACCAGGCTGGTCTCAAACTCCTGACCTCAGGTGATCCACCCACTTCAGCTTCCCAAAGTGCCAGGATTACAGGTGTGAGCCACCGCGCCCAGCCAATTTCAAAAATAGAAAATATACCAGAGAGAGGCCGGGTGCGGTGGCTCAAGCCTGTAATCCCAGCACTTTGGGAGGCCGAGATGGGCAGATCACGAGGTCAGGAGATCGAGACCATCCTGGCTAACCCGGTGAAACTCCGTCTCTACTAAAAAATACAAAAAACTAGCCGGGCGAGGTGGCGGGCGCCTGTCAGTCCCAGCTGCTCGGGAGGCTGAGGCAGGAGAATGGTGTAAACCCGGGAGGCGGAGCTTGCAGTGAGCTGAGATCCGGCCACTGCACTCCAGCCTGGGCGACAGAGCAAGACTCACTCTCAAAAAAAAAAAAAAAAAATATATATATATATATACACACACACACACACACACACACACACACACACACCCCAGAGAGAAATATATGAAAATGAAGTTTTCAGGCCAGTCATGGTGGCTCATGCCTGCAATCCCAGCATTTTGGGAGGCTGAGGTGGGCAGATCACTTGAGACCAGAAGTTCGAGACCAGCCTGGCCAACATGCCAAAACCCCAGCTCTACAAAAAATCCAAAAATTAGCTAGACATGGTGGCACATGCCTGTGATTCCAGCTACTTGGGAGGCTGAGGCACGAGAATCACTTGAACCCAGGAGGTGGAGGTTATAGTGAGCCAAGATCACACCACTGCACTGCAGCCTGGGCAAAAAGAAAGGCTCTGTTTCAAAAAAAAAGAAAGAAAAGAAAAGAAAGAAAAAGAAAATTGAGTTTTCTTCTTTTTTTATCGTTTATAAATCTTCTACAATTATCATGCATTTTATTAAACTTATTGAATTTGTTTTTTAAAATCGGCAAAAATTATAAAAATTCTCATTTATTTTTATTCATTTATTTTAGAGACCGGGGTCTCACCATGTTGTCCAGGCTTGGCTTGAACTCCTGGGCTCAAGCCATTCTCTTGCCCCAGCCTCCCAAAGTGCTGGAATTGCAGGCGTGAGCCACCGTGCCCAGCCCAAAATTCTCATTTTTTAATGCAAGCATAGAGAATGATTCTCCTAAAGCTGGCGGTAAGGGGTTATGGTTGTTTTGGGGGACTCTGAAGACTTCATCACTCTCTTCTGTTAAGGAGTGGGGTTAAGGCTTAAAATAAGTAAATTTCAGAACAGTTCTCAATGGCAAGGGTCACCAAATAGTAAAATAGGCGGGCATGGGGGACATGGAAGGTGTTTACATAAAATGCTTTCAACATGAAATTAACCAAACTTAGAGTAGGGTCAATTCAATGCCACCCAAAGCTAGGAGCTGGCAAAGTGTCCAGAAATGGTTTGCCCAGGCTGCTGGATGATTCTGCCTAGAAGGCTGAGGGGCGAGGTGGGAGCACTGTTCCCTCAAGCAAGGATCTGCCCACCTGCAGGATGAGGATGAGGAGGTCTGAGTAAACATCAGATACCCAGCCCCACCCCAAAACCTGCTGACTCATCCTCCTTGCCACGTGGCTCAGACATCTGCGTATTGGAAGCAACGCCCCTAAAGTCTGAGAACCACTGTCCTCAGGTTTCCCTGTCTGTCAAGTGGAATTACTCATCCCTGCCCTGCGTCTACCCCCGCCCCCCTCCCTGGGCCATCGCGGCGCTCCCAGATGCTCCCAAAAGGGAATGCGCTTTGCAAAGCACTGAGTCCAGAGCGAGCGTTCTGCTTTGAGCCGTGCTCAGTCCCAGCCTGGCCCCGAGAAAAAAACAAAGTCGTTCCCTCAAGTTCTCTCGCAGTCCTCCCTCTCATACTTCCTCCCCTCCCGCCGCAGCAGGTGGGGGCGTTTTCCCCGCGGCGGCACTGCAGTGGGGTGTGCGCGCCAGCAATCCCAGGCGCCGGGCAGCCTCGGATCCGGAGCCTGGGATGAGGGTGGGAAATCCAGGGTGCGCCCCCGGGGCCTCCCCCTGCACAATCCCAGAAACAATTTCTCTACCCCAGGGCCCTCCGCTGGGCGGAGGGAAGTCTGGCCCCTTTCCTCCCAAATTCCCAGCCTCTCCAGGGAGTGTCCTGGAACCGAGGAAAAGTGGAGAATCGAGCTGGTGGGTTCCGGGATCTCCTTAGACCCTTTAGAAGATGCAACGTGAGCTTTAGAGTCCTGCATATCTGGATTCACAATCACTGGCTGTGTGACCTTGGGCATGTCGATAACCCTCTCTGAATCTCCGTTTCTTCATCTTTAAAATGGGGTTGTTTCTTACCACTTTCGTGGGACTGTTGTGATAACGCTTGCAAAGCACAAGCAGGTCCCTGCCTAGAGTAACCTCTCCATAAACTGATGTCACTGTTGTTTTCAATGAGGGTGAGTTACCAGCCCTCTCCATCCTTTTGGAGCCAAATTTGACGCCGGACATCTGGGATTTGAGTCCCAGAAGTAAAGGAATGATAGGCTCTGGGGGGGAGGGGGGCTGGGTATGAGGGAAGGGGACCTCAAGAACCCTGCCCCGCCACCTCACCCCCACCTCCAGTTCCGAGACCCTCTGGGCTCTGCCCATGGCTTGGCCAGTTAATTGCTAACCTGGTGGGCCGAGAAGGTTCGCGGGTCCACCTCCCAAATCCTGTCTCGTGTCGTCGGAAGGGAAGGGTCTTTGTTCCCCCTCATAATCATGATTGCAAGACCCCCATTAGCACTGGACTCCCAAAGCATCCTCCCCTTGCCTGACCTCACCCCCGATCCCAGCCAGAGTCTTGACTGTGTTTGACAATTACAGGCTGCAAAGCCTCTTCATCCATCCAATGCGGGACACTTCAGGCGGCGTTTGCATCCCTGAACCCAGCCCTGGGACTCTGGGACCTGCCCTCGACCCCAGCCTCGGGGAATTAGGCTGTTCCGCATTCGGGGACAAGGACGCTTGGGAAGGAAGGCTGCTAGGATGGGGCGACGTCTTACCTCGGGTCCGCGGTCCTGCGGCGCGAGTGCAGAGGGCTCTTTGTGCCCCGGCTCACAGCGCAGAACTGGGGGAGCCCCTGCAAGCGCCTCCCATCTCAAACTCCTCCCCGCACTCGTCCGCAGCCTCCCTCCCTCTGGTCCCCCGAGCGCAGCCGGCGTCGTCTTTGTAGCTGCTGCAGCGCCCATGAAATTTTAATGCGGGAGCGGCTGGCGGGCGGAGGCGCCCCACCCCCGGCCCTCGCCTCCACCCTCCCGCCTCCTTGCGCCCCTACAACCCCACACCCAACCCTTCCTTACCCAGCCCAGAGTCCTGGCCAGGAAAGCGGGGTGCAGCGGGTCTTGGAGGGAGCACACCGCCGCCCCCGCCGCACAAAGGGGCTAGCAGGCCGGCGCTCTCAGCCTCCCGCATCCCCACCCGCGGCGCTGTCATGGCAACGCTTGCCCGGCCACTTTCGGCCGCAGAGAGCTCAGGGCTGGAGAGGCGCGGGGGCGGCGCGCGACCGCGGACCAGGGGCGCAGAAGCCTGAACCCCAGAGTAAGAGGACAGAAGACGCTTGTCCTGGAATAGTGCCAAGGGCTTAACTAGCAAGACCTCGGGTTGTATGCCTCTTTATGCACATGGTTATGGTGAAGTTCAGATTTGAACCCATAACTGTAAATTCATGCGTGTACAGCATTTGGCCTAACAACATGTATAGGTTTAGTCTTTAATTTTTTTATTATTTATTCTTATTATTTTAGAGATGGGACTTCACTCTGTCACCCTGGCTGAAGTGCAGGGGCACAATCATAGCTCACCGCATCCTCCAACTCCTGGGTTCAGGAAATCCTCCTGCCTCCCCCTCAGCCTTTGGAGTAGCTGGGACTACAGGCGGGAGCCCCCGCGCCCGGCTTAGTCTTTTATTTAACTGCCCTCTTCTTAGTACCTACTATTTTCTAGAGTAGGGATGCTAGAAAGTGGTCCTGAAGTAGTGGGTCTAGAGCCGAAGCATCTACGTTGCTTGAGAACGTGTTAGAAATCCAATTCAGGGCCAGGCTCGGTGGCTTACCCCTGTAATCCCAGCACTTTGGGAGGCAGAGGCGGGCAGATCACCTGAGGTCAGGGGTTCAAGACCAGCCTGACCAACATGGTGAAACCCCGTCTCTACTAAAAAATTAGCCGGGCGCGGTAGTGAGTGCCTATAATCCCAGCTACTCCTGACGCTGAGGCACAAGAACCACTTGAACCCGGGAGGCGGAGGTTGCAGTGAGCCAAGGTCATGCCACTGCACTCTAGTACGGGTGACAACAGCCAGACTCCCTCTGAAGAAAAGAAAAGAAAAGAAAAGAGGCCGGGCGCGGTGGCTGGCTCATGCCTGTAATCCCAGCACTTCGGGAGGCCAAGGCAGACAGATCACCTGAGGTTAGGAGTTCAAGAGCAGCCTGACCAACATGGAGGCTCCCTGTCTCTATTAAAACTACAAAATTAGCCAGGCGTGGTGGCATACGCCTGTAATCCCAGGTACTCAGGAGGCTGAGGCAAGAGAATGGCTTGAACCGGGGAGGCGGAGGTTGCAGTGAGCCGAGATCATGCCATTGCACTCCAGCCTGGGCAACAAGAGTGAAACTCCATCTCAAAAAAAAAAAAAAGAAAAAGAAAAAAATGCGATTTAGGCTGAGTGCGGTGGCTTGCTCCTACCTGTAACTCCAGTACTTTGGGAAACCTAGGGGACAGGCTGGCTTGAGCCCAGGAGTTCGAGACCAGCCTGGGCAACAAAGTGAGACCTTATCTCCACACACACACAAAAAATACAGAAAGATTAGCCAGGCCTGGTGGTGTGTGCCTGTAGTCCCAGCTGCAGTGAGCCCTGGGGGAAGAAAGGAAGGTCCAGATATGTATGTTTCAGCAAGTGCACCAAGGAATTCTGATGCACACTCATGCTGGAGAACCACTGTGCTAGAACATTCCAGTGACCTTCAGAACCAGACTGTTCTGGGTTTACATTTCAGTTCTGCCCATGCCCCTGACAACATGTGACCTTAGGCAAGCTCCATACCCTTCCTCAGTTACTTGTCCATAAAGTACAGATAATAATGGAATCCACATCATCAGGCTAAATGAAGGAAGTGTGCTTAGCACAGTTCCTGGCACCTAGTAACAGCTCAAGACATAGTTATATCATTAAACTACAACATCTCTTTTGTCACATTTCTGTGAATATTGTTTATCATCTTCATTGCTCACATAAAGAGGCTTAGAGAGGCAGTGAGAGCTGCCTACAGACACTGTAAGGAACCTGGGTAGATTTAAGCCTGTCCTTTTAGACTCCAACTTCCCCAGCTTTCTCTAGACTACACATCTGTTACTGGGACCAGCCCTGGTCTTCAGAAAATACAAACCCCATTCAACAAACTTATAAAACAGGCCCAGCCCAGGACCACTGCAGGAAGCTCAAGAGTCCCAAGGAGGCTTTAGACACAGCCTCCTACCCTGGCAGAGTTAGCAGTCCTGCCAGGATGGTAAGACCCATGTGAAAGAGTTAGAGAAAAGGCAAGGCAGTGTGTGGTCACAGCATTGCCCAGAGTACGCAGCCCACTATCAGGGTGGGACCAACGTAATCACAAAAGTCCTTTTTTAAAAATGTTTTGGCCGGGCGCAGTGCCTCACGCCTGTAATCCCAGCACTTTGGGAAGCCAAGGTGGGCGGATCACGAGGTCAGGAGATTGAGACCATTCTGGCTAACACGGTGAAACCCCGTCTCTACTAAAAAATACAAAAAAAATTAGCCGGGCATGGTGGCGGGCGCCTGTAGTCCCAGCTACTTGGGAGGCTGAGGCAGGAGAATGGTGTGAACCCGGGAGGCGGAGCTGGCAGTGAGCCAAGATCGCACCACTGCCCTCCAGCCTGGGCGACAGAGTGAGACTCTGTCTCAAAATAAAAAATAAAAAATACAAAAAATAAATAAAAATAATAAATATATAAATAAATATAAATAAAAGTGTTTTGAGACAAGGTCTTGCTCTGTTGCCCAGGCTGGAGTGCAATGACAAGGATCATAGCTCACTGCAGCCTTGAACTCTTGGGTTCAAGTGATCCTCCTGCCTGAGTTGCCATCACCCAGGTCTACGACTTCCCCCTAATTCAACAGTCTAGTCTAGTCTCCCTAGACACAAACAAAAAGGGAAATACAATTTGGCATGACACATTCTAACTGAGTACAGGGGATACATAGAGGTCACCACTTCCTTTCTTAAGCATTCCCAAGCCACCTGTTTTATAATCCATTCCCGAATTCTCCTGAGTGTCAGTCTATCATTTCCAATATCTACTTGGAAAAAAATCAAACCACCTGTTCATCCCAAACTTTCACACTTCATCCTATTCCCTGGGGCTTCTGAAGGATGAGCAATAGTGAATTTATGATTCTATTTCCAAGCATCTTTGGTTCTAGAGATATTGTAATCAAACCTAGGTTTGGCTGCTTGCTGCTTGAAAGCCAGACGCCAGAGATAAGGGTTGATGGGAAGAAAATTAGGTTTACTTAAAGAGCTAGCAAAACCAAGAAGATAATGGACTATTTATTGTTCTAAAGTACCATAGTATCATATTAAGTCAGTACAGATTTTATGCTGTTTTTATGTTAAAGTCAAGTAGAAGGGGCTGAGCGTGGTGGCTTACGCCTGTAATCTCAGCACTTTGGGAGGCCGAGGTGGGCGGATCACGTGAGGTCAAGAGTTTGAGACCAGCCTGGCCAACATGGTTAAACCCTGTCTCCACTAAAAATATAACAATTAGCTGGGCATGGTGGGGTGTGCCTGTAATCTCAGCTACTCAGGAGGCTGAGGCAGGAGGATCACTTGAACCTGGGAGGTGGAGGTTGCAGTGACCTGAGATCACACCACTACACTCCAGCCTGGGCAACAGAGCAAAGGGGAAGAGAAGGGGGGTTGAATTGGGATCAACAGATGACCAATTACCACTGGCACCTGGGCACCAGCGAGGGTCCAAGAAGGTTGAGAACTTCTTTGTCCTTGGTCAGGTCACAATGCTTTTATAAATCTTTAACAAAACATTGATTATTTACATACTTCTCCTTTAATCCCAGAGTTAGTTTTTAAAAACTACATGATTGCTTTTTTCTGCATATTATCTCAGTGCTCTAAAATTATCTTAGCCTACGTGCAGGAATGGGAAAAGGCCTCTTAAACAAAAATCGAGTTAGTTATGTTAGTACTTTTGCTGTTTCGCTGTTGCAAAGTCTTTTAAAGGCAAGCAGTGGGGAGGTGGCGGAGGGGAGCAAAAGGGGTGACAGTTAGAGGATACTGTGGCTCACTGCAAATAGACCGTCTAACTCAGGCAGACTCAGGACAAGCCATGAACCGAGTACTGCAAGGAGGGAGTGGACCCTCATGTTCAGCAGATGCCATTACCAGTGTGGGCCTCCTCTGCTCCCAGTTCTCTAACATGGTACATTTCTGTATCGGGGCAGACCAGACTAGCTCTCCTGGGGGATTCAGCTGGTCCTTTGCCCTCCTTTTGCCCATCTGTTGAGTGCCTTTGTGGTGAGCAAAGTCTTCCCTTGCATCCTCCATTTCCCTAGGGAGGGTTGGACATCCTTTGGGGTTCATGCCTGGTTTGAGAAGTAGAGCTGGCATCCTTCTCTCCTCCCCATCAATGTAACTGTGACCCTCACCTCATCCTACGGGTAGACTTAGGACATACCCTGGGAAGAGCATGCCTCGAGATGGTAAACATCATCCTCACCACAACTGGCCAAGAGTTCTCACCTTCCAGGAAACATGTATAGGGTCAATTTGGACCCTAGGAGCCCATGAGCAGATAAGAGTACCCCAAAGAGACATGTCAGTATTCCTGCTCTGCGTGATACTGCTCTGAAACCCCAGATTTCCAGGAGAATTCTGACACTGGCAACATATAAAGGAGAGGGGAGCCTGAGCCTCTCTTCTCTTTAGTCCTAGAACAGCCCTTGGAGAAACAAGAGTGGCTCCAGAGGCCAGGGTTCCCGTTGCAATTCTGTTATCAGCCCACTGGGTTCCTCTTTAAAAAGAGAGAGAGCGGGCCAGGCGCAGTGAGTGGTTCATGCTTGTAATCCCAGCACTTTGAAAGGCAGATCACGAGGTCAGGAGTTTGAGATCAGCCTGACCAACATGGTGAAACCCCTGTCTCTACTAAAAATACAAAAATTAGCCAGGCGTGATGGTGGGCGCCTGTAATCCCAGCTAGTCAGGAGGCTGAGGCAGGAGAATTGCTTGAACCCGGGAGTTGGAGGTTGCAGTGAG